TTATTATTATATTATATATATATATATATATATATATATATATATATATATATATATATATAACAACTATATATTTATATGTATATAAACAATTTGTATATATATATATATGTATGTGTGTGTATATTCACATATATGTATCCGTAATGAAAAATGGGTTGAACGTGCGGCAGACGAGTACTTTAGTACAATCAGAGCCAACATTGAAGACACTGATGGTAATCCGGCTGCTCTACTGGCGACTCGCAACAAGAGCACGGATGACCTGCGGCGAGTGAAGCCCCCTGCCCTACGGTTTGTGGACAAGCCCCAGTTGGCAGACACACCCTAGGGCTTAGATAACACTGCGACGTTCCTGATAAACTATAGGAGTATTGACCAATCGGAGTTGAGACCACGGCCGTTTGCAGCAAAGGTATCTCAAAAATTCACCGAAGCGTTTGCGAATGACGTTTACATCTATAGTATTCGTGACAAAGAAACATTCAAAAATGGGACACTTGGCTACTATAACGCATTAAAAAATAACGTTCTGGATACGCGCGGACGACCGGAGGAGTTACTGGCGACTCGCAACAAAAGCGCGGATTTTAAACGATCAGATGACAATGCGGAACTGTTTCTGATAAAATACGCGATCATCGATCGACAGGAATGGAACTCAATGGCATTCCAAACAAAGATATCCAAGGCTTACTACGACGCGTTTAGTGGGGATACTTGTATCTATAGTATCCGTGACAAAAGGATCGTTCCGTATTTAACAGACGAATATTACGAAGCGATTACAAACAATATTGATGATACGCGCGGACGACCAGAAGAGCTCCTGGCGACTCGCATCAATTGCACGGGTAGTGTACCCCAATCAGTCATGTCTGTGAAACCCCCCACACCACGGGTCGTGGATGACACACCCGAGTCGGTAGACCTAGACGACAACATCGAGACATTCCTTACGCATTACAAGAGTATTGATAGAACCGAATCAGAGATGCGAAAGTTTGTATCAAAGGTGTCACGAGCGTTCACCGTGGCGTTTGCGGACGACGCTTGCATCTATAGTATTCACAATAAAAGAACCGTTAAAAATTATACATACGACTATTATACGGCATTGAAAGCCAATATTGAGAATACGCGCGGACGGCCAGAAGTGCTACTGGCAACCCGTAAGTGCAAGTACGACACAAAACCAATTGGTGCACAGGACAGGGATGAATTCTTGAACAGATACCACACGTCCGAACGAGATTCGCAGAGTACGCGCGAATTTATATCCAAAGTTTTTAAACTTTTCACCGACATGTTGACAAACGATACATGCATCTATAGTATACATGATAGGAAATGTATCCAAAAACGGTCATCCAAGTACAAGAATACAATCAAGTTCAACATTGAGGCTACACGTGGACGCCCGGAAGTGCTACTGGAGACTCGTAATACATGTACGGAATCGTGCAGTGATGATAAAGAGAAACCCAGACCAACTATTAAGTACCAGCTTACGGATCGGAACTCGGTGGTGACACGTAGTCCGCTGTGGGAAACGGTCTATTATCCGTTTGTTGAAAAATACAACCAAATTTTGGATACTTCAAATGATTTTGTAGTCGATATCGCGCGACTCTACCAGCGTACCTTTCAATACGACAAGCACTATTACAACGTGTCTACCAACAAGTGTAAACTTTTAGACATCAAGAATTTGGAGGAAAATATCAGACTTACCATGGGGCGCCCGTTCGACTTACTCGAGTACCGCATTCTGTGTCGTAAAGACCCTAGACTCAGCAAAAAATGGACGATGGAGCTGGAACGACACGCACTTCCGAAAGGTGGGATGCTATGCATGCCAAAGTATTTTATGGACGATGATGCGACCGTATTCGATAACCCTTCCTTTTACAAGAGATTGTCGTTTATGAGCCAGCTTGGTGACTACATTCTAATCCTGTTCCGTGATTTTCCCAGTGTGTGCACAGTCATCAATTATCGCATAAAGATACATGCTGAAACAGCTAGTGAAATGAATATTCAGTCTGTTATTCGGCAATTGGACGCAGCCGAATGTAAGACGCGATTTGCCCTCATCACACTGTCCACGAACTCGGACGAAAGTGGGCATGTGATGCCTATAATTGTAGACTTTGAAAATGAAACGATTGAAGCGATGGATCCCGGGGGAGATTCAATAAACGAGTTTAATGTCGCCCTTGATAAATTTGGGACGATACTCCAGGACAATTACAATGATCAATTTGGGACGTCTTTTCGGTTTGTTTCCACACAAGATGTGTGTAACCGCGCGTGTGTCCAACGATACGAATTGAATTTTGTCGAGAGACCATTTGACCCCTTTGTTCGTGACCGGTTTGACACAGAAGTGGGTGGCAACTGTTATCTGTTTACTCTTGTTCTATTTCTTGCACGACTCAGCAATCCAACAATGGACACAGCTACGGTTCATCAGTACTTGGTTGAGTGGATTGTTCAGGATATGGAAAAAATGCTTGATCTGTTCCGGGAGATGTACCAAGTCATGAAATTGGGTCAAGTCGAAGGTGAGTTTCAGCGGTAAAAATCGGGTTTGGAACGGACTATGTTCAAGAAATGTAGCAAAAAAACAAATAGGAATGGGACGTAAAATCAGGATGTAAAATCAGGATGTAAAATCAGGACGTAAAATCAGGACGTAAAATCAGGACGTAAAATCAGGACGTAAAACTAAAATCCCGTGGCTTGCACCCGAAATAAATAGGAATAGAAAATGAATAAATTAGGGTTGTATCCCGAAAATAAGGGGGTTATGTGGGACTCAAAATTGATTCCGCAAAAAAAATATGTAAAGAAAAAAAATAAGGCGATTTTACACTTGGTCAATTTTTAAGGTAATTTGGTGTTTGAACCGGAATTATGAGAAATAATGTAAATAAATCAGTAACTTTCGATCTGTGGTAGTGCATGAGTCTGTCACTATCTGTGGTAGTGCATGAGAAGACACAATTTATGGTAGTGCATGAGAAGACACTATCTGTGGTAGTGCATGAGAAGACACTATCTGTGGTAGTGCATGAGAAGACACTATCTGTGGTAGTACATGAGAGGTCACTATTTGTGGTAGTGCATGAGAAGACACTATCTGTGGTAATGCATGGGAAGACACTATTTGTGGTAGTACATGAAACGTCACTATCTGTGGTAGTGCATGATTTTGTCACTATCTGTGGTAGTGCATGAGTCTGTCACTATCTGTGGTAGTGCATAAGAAGACACTATCTGTGGTAGTGCATGAGATGACACTATCTGTGATAGTGCATAAGAAGACACTATCTGTGGCAGTGCATGAGAAGACACTATCTGTGGTAGTGCATGAGAAGACACTATCTGTGGTAGTGTATGAGACTGTCACTATCTGTGGTAGTGCATGAGAAGACACTATTTATGGTAGTGCATGAGAAGACACTATCTGTGGTAGTGCATGAGATGTCACTATCTGTGGCTGTGCATGAGAAGACACTATCTGTGGTAGCGCATGAGACGTCACTATCTGTGGTAGTGCATTAAAAGACACTATCTGTGGTAGTGCATGAGAAGACACTATTTGTGGTTGTGCATGAGAAGACACTATCTGTGGTAGTGCATGAGAAGACACTATCGATATTACCTCCATCGATACATGGTTGAATATAGTACATCATACTCTTGGTCTGACCTATCTTTGCAGTATATTGTATTAGGTTAATATGACCTCCATCGATACATGGTTGAAATAGTACATCATACTCTTGGTCCAGCCTATCTTTGCAGTATATTGTATAAGGTCAATATGACCTCCATCGATAGCTGGTTGAATATAGTACATTGTAATAGCCGGGCCTCCACATTAGACTCTATGTTATAAACGTACTCTTAAGCAGTACGTAAAATATAAACGTACTCTTAATAGTACTAGGAACTTAAGTTTCCTAAATGGTTTAACGGTTTTATGTTTTATACCCCTGGTGCGGTCTATCTTTGCATTATATTGTATTAAGTCGATATGACCTCCATCGATACATGGCTGAATAAAGTACATCATACTCTTGGTCCGGTCTATCTTTGCAGTATATTGTATTAGGTCAATATGACCTCCTTCGATAGATGGTTGAATAAAGTACATTGTAGTAGCTGGGCCTCCACATTAGACTCTATGTTATATACGTACTCTTAAGCAGTTCGTAAAAAATAGACGTACTCTTAATAGTATAAGGAACTCAAGTTTCCTATATGGTTTTTAACAGTTTTATTAATTAATACCTTTTCCATTTTACATATCAGATGTTTGGATGAAGGCCTTTAAAAATTTGGAGTTGTTTTATTAATAGAACTATATTTTATTACAAATCTATTTATATCTGAACACTTCGGTAGCGAGATGGCTCAACCGAAAATAGGTTTCTAGGGACTATTAATGTTCGTTCCGCCAACCAGATGTGCCAGTCTGATGATGGCAAGTCGGTAATTCTTGATAAGTGGAAAGTTATTGGTTAAGATAACAAAAGACATCAAGAGTATTTCTTTTTCTTTTTACTATTTTTCTTCTTCTTCTAAAGATAAGATTTTATGAGTCTCTCGGATTCGCCCTAACGAAACATACCATAGTTTCTAATAGAGCGACAACGAAACACTAAATAAAATCCCTTCGGCGAAAACAGTACTGAGAGGATTATATATAGGCAATGTCTCAGCCTCACAATCCCTCAGAGTATTGCTGTTTCCACGAGGCATACCTAACTTTACCAAAAGACTCCTTTCCTTTATTTACTTCGAAATCCACGAAATTTAGACTTAACCTAAGCGTTTAATTACTCTAAGGCGTTAATATCGCTTTGATAGACCGAATCTTACAACATCATGCCCTTTGTACGGCATATCTTTGCATTATATTGTATTAGGTCAATGTGATGTGAAATGTCTGACAGCTCCGGCAAAGAGCGGACTTCCGATCCGTAGAACTTCAGAGGATCTTGACGTTGAATAGGGAAATCTTCCTCGGTGGTAATATAGTAAGCCCTTGCTTTGAACTTCTGAAGAAATTTCTTCGCTTGTCAGGTTCTAGATAAAAATCTTCCCTTGTCGCCATATAACCATGTGTTATATAGTTCTTTTACGATTGTGTTGTGCCATGCCACCCCTCAGAGATAGCGTCTCTTTACTATAAGTAGAGGGGTTCTTCCGACAGGGAATTGCACCCCATCGCGACCATACCGAGGCCACCAAGGTATGGAGCCTCGTGCAAGGTCATTTACACGTATGTAGCAACAGTAAAGCATACACGCCAATCTGATGCGCACATTTTACTTCACGTAGTATGACAGGCTAGGCATGCACGCATAAAGATTAAATAATTATACAAACAAAATGACTGGTCAGAAGTGTAAAAATACCAAGTAAACTCAAACAGAATGATTGGTCAGAGCCCACTGTAAACTGTATATATAATTTCCTTTCACATTCTTCATAACAATTTGTGTCTGTCATTTTATATACATAATTACCTTGATAGTGAGGATTGACAGGAGAAGAAAGACTCATGCTTTCGGAACCTGGCAACACAATATAACCTCCATCGATAGATGGTTGAATATAGTACATCATACCCTTGGTGCTGCCTATCTTTGCATTATATTGTATTAGGTCAATATGACCTCCATCGATAGATGGATGAATATAGTACATCATACCCTTGGTGTGGACAATCTCTTCATATTGCATTGCTGTAGGTGGATATGACCTCCGCCATCGATAGCTGTGCTATATTCAACCTTTTATCGATGGAGGATGTATTCATCCAATACAGTCTTTTACAGAGTCCCAATTGAAAATGTACTACGCACGTGCGCCATTAGATTCCCAAAGCATACAACCTCAAAAGCCACCACACCCACACCGTCCTTTGTGTGTGCATGTGTGCCCTCCATGTCGTATACAAAATAAATATTCAATAGTTTGAACGATCACAGCACTGACTTCCATTTGAATAGAGACATCAGTGCATCACATTACAGTCACATATGTGGAATTATAACTGTCACAATATACTTGACATCACCTCTCCTGTTTAATAATAGCTCGAATGTTGCGTGACTCACGGAGATGCACCATTCAGTGAGATATCTGCTCCTCCACACTCTGTACACATGCGCGCAGATGTACACAACGATACAGTATTAAACGTGGTGATGCATGAGAAGACACTATCTGTGGTAGTACATGAGACGTCACAATCTGTGGTAGTGCACGAGAAGACACTATCTGTGGTAGTGCATGAGAAGACACTATCTGTGGTAATGCATGAGAAGACACTATCTGTGGTAGTGCATGGGAAGACACTATCTGTGGTAGTGCATGAGACGACACTATCTGTGGTAGTGCATGAGAAGACACTATCTGTGGCAGTGCATGAGAAGACACTATATGTGGTAGTGCATGAGAAGACACTCTCTGTGGTAGTGCACGAGTGTAGTAAAAGTCCCCTTAAACCACTATCAGTGTGGAGTTAGAATTGATTTACAATTAATTCACACGAGGTGAATTATTTGTAGACCACGTAGACAATCAAATATAAGAATAAATACACCGCACTGAGCCTCCGGGAGACTCAGTAGGTTTTAGTATCGTATTTTGATGTGTTTACTACATTTTTACGACTAGTTACTTTAGGTGTATTATTCGATTTTATCTCGAGGATAGTAGTGGACGGGAGAAATTAGGTTTATTGACAAATTACAGGAGTTGATTTCCCTCAGAACCGGATAGCTGAAAGGAGCTTGCAAATTATGACAGGAGCAAAGTCATCCGAGCACAGATAAGTGAAAAGAAACCCCCTTCCGTTTTGCTCGGTTTGATACGCTTGCGTGATTTACATACATATATTTATATTTTATACAGATTTTTATTATTAATATAAATCTAGAGCAAATTGGAGTGATTAGTAGGATATGCAGAAATTAACAGGTGCCCAGTTTATTTAGCTGATGAGCATTCTTTTTTTCTAGAACAAATAGTTATCCGACCCTCCGGTCGAATAAGAGCTCCCGGGAGCCAGTTGTTGTCAAACCTCAAGGATGGGTCCCTTGCGGGTTCATTCCAAAGTGTAATTGACGAATGAATTAATCACTATTCAATGTCGAGTAGAATAATATCCTCTCGGCCACTAGATACGTAGGATGTTTACTACTACTTCTATTCAACAAAAAAGACCGCCCACATTTTTTCCCCCAATAGGTTTTGCATAATTTACGACCACGGATAATGTCGCCCAGTTCGTAGTTGGTTTGTATGTAGGGTTCAATTTGAAACATCGACACTAATTCCCAACAACCATTCATTCTTCTTTTGATTCTTTAATACATCTTCGGTCCGAAAATCCAGATACTTCAATTCCAATGCGACTTTTCAGGCCGTCGTTGGCAATCAAGGCATCTCTCTGACTAATTAGCAGCCCATAGGACGTGTGAACAATGTTTTGACTGGCCTAGTCAGTCCGCACAACACGAACATGATACAGTATCGCAATTAGGGGTATAGAAGAACGTAATTTGGCGTAGAGAAGGTCGATATGGCAGATTTTCATAGGTGTGGGCGAGTACAGCGACGATAATGGGTAGATAGTGGTGATCGAGAAAAGCGGGTAACAATGTAGAATCGACAGTGTCAGACGACGTAGAATGGAAACGAATGAATTAAGCGCGCGTGAGACAGTTAGCAATGCAGAAGAGAAGCTAGGTACAGTTTGGGAGAAACTGAGACAGAAAGAATGCAAAAGATATCTCCGAGTCGGATGTTTGGCCATCGTTGCATGCACGAACTCGTTGGTCACGAAAGCAAAGAAGAAGAAAATATCACGAAGAGTATATATACAATATGTATATTTGAATTTTCATTCTAGAGGAAGGAAGTCAACGTATGTGAAATAGCTGTAGGACCAGCAAGTAGCATGGTACGGTTGAATGATTGTTAGTGAAAACTAAGGAGAACGAGAACGTTATCGCCGACATATATGGCGAATCGTCAAGATGCAGCGGACTCTTGCAAGGAACAGAAGAAATAGTACCTGCAAGAGTAAACAGCACTTAAACAGCACTTACCAGGCGTCGTGCAAGTACACTCAAGTTGTTTTGAACGGGGAATTTGTTTTTGTTTTTCCAACTTCAAAACCGATGTAATTACCTTGGGCTTCAAGGTTATACTTGTGAACCTTAACCTGAACTTCCTGGCTGCAGGCTTCGGGTTTGATTTTATGTTGGAGTACAGTGGTCCGAAGGTTGGATTAAAGGAGCATTCGGAACGCTAGAACACCGATTTAGCATCCAACAGAGCTAGACAAACTATTGGAACCAATACCGTTGAGATGACCACCAGATTTGACCGAGGAAATGGGTGTTCG